TGTATTACAATTGTAAAAAAACAAAGTGTATAACGGAAGTTAAAAGGGGTAGAATTATAGGTTTTTTTCTTTACTCTTCTCTATTTCTTCATTATCTCATAAATATTTCATAATGAATACATATTCTCACTATAATCAGAAAAAACTTAAAATCTTTTTAGGAAAGAAAACATTCAGTAGTCCCATTCTTCCATTTTTAAGTTTGTATTACAATTGTAAAAAAACAAAGTGTATAACTGTATATTAAAGGCAATGAAGTCTTGAGCAAAGATTTATACAAAATACCAAACTTTTTAAAAAATGCTACTATCCCTAGTAAGTATAGGTAGTATTTTAAACTACAGTTTAAATTAAACCAAAAGTGTATAACACAAGTTTCTTTCTTAATATACCATAGAATTCTATCTCTAATATTTTAGCATAATACTGAGTACTGTATTTGGTGCTGTCATTTCATTATTTGAAAATATATGACTATAGTGTCATATGTAAGCTATCATGCTATTTCTTTTGTCTTCAGACAAAAGAAGATTGCATCTTTTCCTGTCTAGAGAGTATTTGGTTTTTAAAGTTGATTCAGTGATTCTTTCAAGCAAAACGAAATCACAACTGAAAAGAGATGATACGATATATATAAAAAGGGATAACACCCAGAAATGAGAAAGAAAACATCAATTTCCATATCAAAAAAACTCAGTAATTAAAAATTACAAATACACAGAAATAAAGGAATTTACAAATAATTCTTGCTTTTAGAATAAAATGTTGTTTTACATGGCAACGTGTAAAACATATATCTACTTCCTCGGTTATACAGCTCCCCATACAGCAATCCATCCACAATTTCAGTATTACTGTTAGTCTGGAACTAGAAGGCATTACCCTGTGGCCAAATCTATTTCATGCTTCAAGACAAATATTAATGACTTTGTAATAAATGAATTTAAACTGAAATTTTTTAAAGTGTGCAAAATTGATTCCCTTTAAGCGTCCCTTACCCAATCCCTATGACCTTCCCCAAAAAAACTATGACCAGATAACTTAAACAAATAAAATAACCTGCTCTATCTTCTGTAATTATAAGAGATCCTCACTTATTTCAGAAAAAATAATCTATGTTAACTTGCTACCATTTCTCATGAGAAGGCATCTCATAAAGAGAAAACAGTTCTATCAGTTATAACAAGCTAAATTCTATTGTTTTAGTTCCTGCAAAGACAAATATTAGACCAGCGAAACTTACCAGGTTAGTTACACACGACTTCAGGCAGTTGTTCAAAACTGTACACTGCCCCAGAGAAATCCATAGGCAGCCGAGAGTTGCAAAATTGACAAGTTTCAGATTAAGCCAGTAAATGTTCTTCATCACTTCACCAATGGCAGATTTTCAGAGCCCCGGTCTTCTCATTTTCTCCATTTTGCTATATGAATTCTCTGGGCTTCATCTCTTCAGTTGAAAGAGTGGTTAACGGCTTTTTTGTTTTGAAGTGTTAGAATATCTTTGCCTTTTGAAATAATATTTACACCTTTTAGTTTAGACCTTTGAATCCTTGAAAGCTTAACATTCATGTAACAGCTATTTCACAACTTAGCTTCCTTTTACTCCCATAAAGAAAGTCACCCACTGACTAAAGGTTAGATCTCAGAAGAACACCTTGCGTGGAAGGTATATGAAGTAGAAAACGCAAATTGCTCTTCAGCAAGCGTATTACACATGCACAGTCTGAAACTGGAACGTTTCAGTGGATCCTCCACCACTTTGCTTCTTTGAGGTCTGTCCAACTCTATAGGAAATTGGGTTTTGACCATCTATGCTTTAGCGAACAGTAGAACTATAACAATAAAGAATTACCGAAAAAATAGAAGCACCTAAATCAAGCAATGCAACAGAGAGGGAAAACAGAACCCTTTGAAACCAAATATCTATTTTAAAATTAAAGAGCAAACAAAACTGAAATTAACAGACAAATACTCTAAGGGTGAGTTAAAGACAAGGAAGTTTGTCAGAGCACTCTGAGAACTTTACTACACATTAACTAAAATACTACCTTATCAGGTCTATTGAGACAGAGCTGAAATTAGCCACCAGAGACCTAAGATATGTACAAGTGTAGCTGCCTTGAGAAGGAAACATTGTACAGAATTTCAATTAGGCTAGCATCAAGATAAAGTTAAACTGAAGCCTAAAATAAGAATTTGAAATCTGCAAGGTATAGGAGTGAGTCCTTCTGGATAGCTATTTTTTAGATTGCTGAGGGTTAACTCTTTAAGACCAGATATTTTTGTGGTAGTGCTCTTTTTAATGGCAATCTAAAATGCCAAATAAACTTCCTTGTTTTCTTAAATAAATTATACCGAATGTAATGTAGCCTTTTCTTAATGACACGAGTTTCTCATTGAGAACAGCACATGCATGAAATTCTGTTTTGAACTAAACATCTTGTAGTAAATGTTGACAAAACTGATGTACAACATAAAGATGACTGGCTACTGTCCCCAGAATTGACCTCTAAGACTTTTCTTCTTGAAAAAATTTTCTGCTATCTACCTGTTCTCTGTTCATTTTCTGCATTTTCAGGAATGTATTCAATAAATTAAAGAATATACAGCTACCCGATGTCTTGGTCAGAGGAATGTGGCCATCTTTCTACAAAATGCGCTTTTAAATCAGAGAATAAAGTACCTCCCCTAAGGGATTTTCTTGTCCTAACAAAATTTATCATCTTCACTGTAGCTACCAGTACCTTTTGCCTTACTAGCATAAATAATATTTGTAACTTTTATGGCACCAACAAAATGGACCACCAATATATTCTTAAAAACCTAAGTACATTCTTTTATCTCACTTGATCTAACTTTATTGGTGGGGTGTGAAAAAGAACTATTCCTCCAACTTCAAAATTTTTTGTCTATTCTGGTTTTTGGAATTTAACCAGCACATAAATTTGCACTTGTCCGAGATGAAGTGTGTTCAAAGACATTTGTTACAGTATTACTTACATCAGCGAAAGACTGCTGACAACCTGCAAGTCCAATAATGTAATACTGGATGCATCTATTCACATAATATTCTCCATGTGGTTTCTCCATGTGGGCTTGTTTGGACTTCCTCACAGCATGATGGGTCTCTAGGCAATCAGACTACTAACATGATGGCTTAGAGCTTGGCCAAAATGTTCCAGCTCTCCAAGAATAAGCAGTATTGTCTTTTATGATCCAGCTTTAGAAATCACAGTCCCTTCTGCTGCATTCTTTTGGATACCAGAGAGTCACAAACCTGCCCAGATTCAAGGAGGGGAGAATTAGAACTCTATCTCTTGATGTGGGAGAGGTAAGGTTCTAAGAGAACATGTAGGATAGGAGAGTTTTTGTACCACTTTTGGAAAATGCAATCTGCCACCATATAGGCAGTCATCATTTGCATGGTTCTGATAGGCAGAAATTTCAGTTACCACAGTTTAGTTAAATAACACCGTTTTCCCAACAAGACATTTCAGACTTCAGTTACCATGATATATTATCTGTGAATAATTGCATAAAATGCAAAGTTCTCAGCTATCTATTCAATCTACAAGTCAGATGTAAATAACAGATGAACATCATTAGGAGAGGCCAATCATGTCACTTCTTTCAAAGTCTGTCAGTGATTGGTCACTGCACATCTGGCATTCAGTTCATACACAGACAGCAAAGGAAGTAGCTGTGTTGTCTCTTGTTTCCCAATGGTAAACCCAAATGACATTTTACAAAAGGACATTTAGAAAAATGGATATTTGAAAGAGGGAATTGGCCAACAATGAGAAAAATGCAGCAAAAAAAAATGAAAAATGATGAAACTAGAAGTGACATTTGAACCAAATGTAAATGGAGTTATAGAAGAAGTCACTGCCCATGACAATGTTGGTATTGCTGTTTTCCAGACTCTAGACAGACAGCCAGAGGAACTGAGTGAAGGTAAATAAGGACATAAATAAGGAAAGTGGTTGTGATGAAAAGGATGAAGATGCCCCAGAGGAAGTCATGCTGGCAAAAGAATTCGCAATATACATATGTCTTGGAGATATTTCATGACATTAAAAATGCAAAGAATCAAATGTGGAACACTGATTCAAACTTGGAGAGGGGTTTGACAATTTGCTAAGGCACAGGAAAGAGGCTCTCTCTGAATTAAGTTATAGGATAAGAAGAGGAAGATAAGGAACAATTATAATTTTTCCCACTCATTATTAAGATTACTTTGCATGGTTCCAACTTATGCAGTCATTTTTACAGTACTGCACTACCATGAAAAATGAAGGTTGTCTGAATAATAAGCCACCATAGGGTGAGAGGGTCATAGTTTACAGGCAACTGTGATTACCTTCTCAAGGGAGAAAGAGAATGATTTATTCTTCACTGACTACTCATTTGTAATGTCTGTATTTTATACAATGAGCACATACTACAGATTCAAAAATAAATTCAAAAACAATAATTTTAAAAAATATACTGCACTAGGATTTGAAAGTATAGGATTTTAAAGCCTTCAAATTCATCTCAAGTTAAGAGGAGGACACTCTAAATACATGACAAGAGTTCAGGCCAAACAAGTTTCTCCAATGGGTCTTTGAACAAAATTTTATGTATAAACATTAAATTTTTATCCTAACAAACAAGACTGGAACTTCTGTATAATCCCTTACAATAAATCAAATTCCCACGGATCACTTCTGCAGTTAATAGACCACATTCTGAAACAATGGCCTTGTTCATAGATTGCATTAGTGAGGTGGTATTGTGCAAGGGGAAATTATTGAACCATTCCCCATATTCTAATCCTGCTTTACTGGAATGGGCTATACGATTGGTTGGCAACAGAATAGATTTGATATAGTGAGATATATTTATGAGTTCTGAAATTATATTTATTGGAAATATAGGCCAGGCATGGTGGCTGAGGCCTATAATCCCAGTGCTTTGGGAGGCCAAAGCCAAAGGATCACTTAAGGCCAGGAGTTCAGAACCAGCTGGGATTGCTTGAGCCCAGGAGTTCGAGACTATAGTGAGCTATGATCACACCACTGCACTCCAGCCTGGGTGACAGAGTAAGACTCTGTCTTGAAAAAGAGAAAGAAAATATAAAGTGTATATTCTCAAACTCAGTTGCACTCTGTGAGCATCATATGACTCAAGGGAAGGGAAATTGTACAGTCATCAAAAAGAGCCCCAAACATGGACTGGGCATGATGATGGCTCACGCCTGTAATCCCAGCACTTTGGGAAGCTGAGGCAGGAGGATCACTTGAGGCCAGGAATTCAAGACCAGCTTGAGCAAGAGTGAGACCTCATCTCTACGAAAAATAGAAAAATTAGCCGGATAGGGTGGCACATGCCTGTAGTCCCAGCTACTCTAGAGGCTGAGACAGGAGGATCGCTTGAGCCCAGGAGTTTGAGGTTGCGGTGAGCCACGGGCCTTCCTCCATCCATCTGCACTACCCGGAAAGCCGACTCCTCTGTGCATCTGACTCTTCCTACCCGTCCCTCACACCACCTCCCAGGGGCACCTTTTCCGACCCCAGAGACTAGGTTTAGTTTCTTCATTATATGGTCCCATGGCTCCTTGCATGCTCTTTTGCTTACAGTTGGCACATTTGTAATTATTTGTTGTTTGATAATTATTTGATTATTTGTCTAGAGGCTGTGTTCCACACTAGATCGTAAATCCCCGAGAGTAGGGGAGGTTTCACTGTTGATTCCTTGAACAACTGCTTTGACTCATGGGTTTAACCATGGAAAATGGCTGATATTTGAACACCTTGACCTAAAAGAAAGTCAGTTTCATATAGTCCAATCTAATAATCAATGAATATTTATTAAATAAATCATTAATAAACCATTCATTGTGGTTTCAGACTTTTCTGTGTCTGGGTGTGTGTGTGTTTGTGCCTGAGGTGCAAACTATGTGCCCCTGTGATCAGCTATTAGTGTTAACTGTTATGAAAAGAATCTCCGTAAGTTCTGCTAACCTTTTTATTTCCCGGGGCTTCATGGAGATTTTTCAAAGTTAAACACAATAACAAATTCCAAAAATGGGCCCTACCAGAAATACAAGTTCAGCAGGTTGCCTCGGCTGCTTTGATCTCAGGTCAATTTTCTATTCTCCTGAGTTTTTTTCATTCTTCTGTGAGATTAAGCTCAGTCACCTCTTGAGCTCTCTGGATCCCTTGCAGGTGAGTTCTGCATGATTTCCTCTGACTGACCTGTGGAAGGAGGCACTGGGCCAGACCCAGATTTTGTACTCCCTCCCTGAGCATCAGGATGCACGGTGGTGGCCAGACACGCTTCTTCATTTTCCCCTCCTAAAACTGATTTAACCATTTAAGACTG